CACCCTGACCTTTCCTCCCTAGAGATAACATGTAGGCCTCAGTTATATTTCAGCTCCAGGCCCAGAAAAGCAGCAAAACCAGACCAGGGACCCCAAAGCTGCCTCAGGACCAGCTGCCCTGGTGCCAACCAATCAGTGACCCTGAAAGAGCACACCTGGGAAGCTGATGAATATTCTATCGAGACCCTCCCCTGAGACCTGCCTGAAGATTCCCACCAGCAAGAGAGCGATAAATACACTCAGAACACAGGACCCAGTGTGCACTCTCCCCGAGGGGAGCACGCCTGTGCCATTCCTTCCCCCTCTCCTTTCCCCACAGGCATGTGTCCCCTAACTTCTAAGGGGCCCCATGAGCCTTGCAACCAGGGAAATGGTGAGCAGTGGCAGCTCATCCCCGCTAACCCCCTGCGCCTGTCCCCAAGGTCCCTTTCTCTGATTTCCCAGTGAGCCAAAGCAGCCCAGCCCTGGCTCTCCTGCTGCTTCTTCTCTTTCCTTCCTTGTTTCACTGTCCTGAGTATATTGGCCCAATACCCTTTGGCTCAGTGCTGTGTAGCCCTTTCCTTTGGGTATCCTCATTCCCCCACCCCTTTTTTCTTAAATAAATTCAATTTTTCTTCATTCACCATCTGAGATGGCTATTTAACCTGCCCATGCATCACTGACTCTAATCTTTCAACAAGGTTGCATTTTAAGAGATATAAGACTCTTTCAATTCTGACTGTTCTTATTCTACATTGTAGTGACAAATCTAAGACCATTTCTGCTAATGAGCAGTCAACAAGCACCCCCCTGTGATTGAACAAATTAGGGGTCATTTCTGAGAAGCTGGAATCGCAATCTCTAGTATTCTTTCTCAGATGTACTTTGAGGTGAAGGATGAGATGGCCCACGGCATGGAGGACACAGGGATTGCGCATCTGATCCAGAGATGAGCAGTATGAAACATGAGCACTCACATGGCGCTTCCCCTCTGGGATGCCAGGTCACCCTACCTCCATCCTCCCCCACACCCTGCAAAGGGACACAGCCAGGTCCTCATCTTCAGCGGATCTGGAAAATCTAATGTAGAGAGAAAGTTGAGACTGCACTGCAGAAGCTCAAGGACTAAGAATTAATTAAGACAACTTGAAATGACTTGAGACTTTTATTTATATATTTATTTGTTCATTCATTCATTCATTCATTCATTCATTCATTCATTTATTCATTCATTTATTTATGCTGACGGGATTTCTAAGTGGTCCTCTGCCCTGTCCCTGGCCTGATACACCTCTTCGACAGTGACCAGCCTCCAGGAGCCCAGTGCTCTGATCCCAGCCAGCGGGTTGGCTTCTGCCAGGCTCACCCTCCTTCTCCCTGCCTCCCAAACCACTTTATGTTTTAGGGATTTTTAAAAAAATAAAAATCTTAAATGGTGATATTTCTCTTTTCATTAGTTAGAAAAAAAAAGTAATGGTCATCTATATATTCACTACCCAGATGTATAGATGCTGGATTTTTTTTGTTCTTTTTGCTTCAATGCCCCTTATCCTATAGAATAAAGAGGTAATATGCAAATTAACTGTCACACCATCACAAGATGGCTGCCTACAACCAGACTGGCAGGGGGGTTAGTGAGGGACGACCAAACGACTGAACAGCAGGCTGCGTGGGGTAACTAGGCTGGCAGGGGGGCCATGAGGGGCAACCAGGCTGGCAGGAGTGGGGGCAGTTGGGGGTGACCAGACCAGCAGAGGGAGGCAGTTAGGAGCAACCAGGCAGGCAGGTGAGCGATTAGGAGCCAGCGGTCCAGGATTGTGCGAGGGATATTCGACATGTGCAGTCGGACATCCCCCAAGCGGTCCTGGATTGGAGAGGGTGCAGGTTGGGCTAAGGGGACGAATTTTGTGCACCTGGCCTCTAGTTTTATATAAAAAATAAAGTTATAAATGTGCCCTCTTTACTCATCCTTTTCCCTCTTACCCAGAGTTCACCATTGGTCCAAAGTTCATGTTGTTCTCACTCATATCCATAAACACATCGATGTTTCTCTCTCTCTGTCTCTCTCCCCCACCTTCTAATCTCTGAAAATCAATGAAAAAATATCCTCAGGTGAAGATTAACCAAAGGAAAAAAAAATACTCCTGGCATACAGCATAAGCGGGCAACTCAGCTAGCCTGAGCATGTGCCCAGTGGGGGCTTGAGGGGTTTTATACCACCACAACCTCCACCCCACCCCCCCCAACACACACACACAGGTTTCAAAGGTTCTTTGCTGGATATCTTGGACAACAGACTAGATTTCAAGGCCCCCTTTTATTTTGTTGTGGCTTTTCCCAGAATTTATGAGACCATCTGGTGCTTTTATCTTGACAAGTCTCAAGACTGCTGACTTCTTTGTTCAGTGGGTGAGATAAACTCCCCTTTTCCCCCTCCCCTTTGTCCAGAAGGCAGGCTGTCAATGAGGAGCCGGGTGTCCCCACACATGTATCCCCACCTATCAGCTCTGTTTATTTCTGACTTATCTCTGTACCTTTGTGTCCCCATCATCCACCCACTTCTTGCTGGGGACTTTCCTTGCTGCAACAGCACCTGGGCTGATGCAATAGTTCCAAGCCCTAAGGAGCTCTGGATTTAGAGGTCACTGGTGAGGCCACCCCAAGTATACCTTGAGCTAGACATTGGCTTCCCTTGAACACCTAGGGGCTGTCATATGACCCCCCTCACACCATGTGTGGGAGGACAGGCACTGGCCCAGTATTGGGGACAGGAGACCAGGGGGCCTCTGAGGAGCATCCTAAGACCATGGCCTCTGTCCGGACTCCCTGGGACCCTGTTCTCTCCCCCGCCCCCTGCACAGTTGGTGGGTGACACATTTGCAAGTCCTAACCCCCTCTCCCATGTGTCCTCAGTGGAAACCACACCAAAAGACAGGAGCCTCCCTGCATCTGTCACCATGGCAGCTACCTGCAGAAGGGTCTGGCAGGAGGAACTGCAGACACCGTGGGAGGGGCCACACCCAAGGCAGCTGCAGAGCGATGTGACAGCTGGTCAGCAGGAGGCTCCTGGGAGGTGTGTGGCACCAAGGCCCACCCAGAGATGTCGATGAACATGACTTCGTACTTCCTTCCTCCATCTGAGAACAACACAGGCCACTCTTCCTGCCTCCAGCCCGCACTGGCCACTGGCCATGGAGGGGGCAGCCCTGCTCCCTGGTGGAGGGGTGTCGCCCCAAGTCCATTCATCTGGGCTCACTAAGTTCGAGGGGCTGGCGCTGGGGCTGGGGCAGTTATGGCGAACCTTTTGAGCTCGGCGTGTCAGCGTTTTGAAAAACCCTAACTTAACTCTGGTGCCTTGTCACAGATAGAAATTTTGTGATATTTGCAACCATAGTAAAACAAAGACTTATATGTTTGATATTTATTTTATGTATTTAAATGCCATTTAACAAAGAAAAATCAACCAAAAAAATGAGTTCACGTGTCACCTCTGACACGTGTGTCATAGGTTCGCCATCACGGGGCTAGGGAGTCACAAGGTGGGACAAGGCCATTGTCGCCCACTCGTGCACAGTCTGTCCCCATTGGCTACGTGGTGAAGGACAACTCCGTGGACAAACCCTCTGGTAGTCAGTTTCCCCCAACACGTCCCCCAAACCCAGGGGCTTCTGGGATGATACGCCAAACCCACCCGAGGTTCCTGGAAGGTCGCTGGGTAACGTTGGTGCTGAACAGATAGGTAAGAATTCTGCGGGCAGAAAAGAGAGAGGGCTCACAGCAATAAGAGGACCCACACTCTCCTGCCTCACCCGGCATCGCCTGCACAGGAGGGGCTGCGACGGACAGCTGAGCCCTCAGAGTCCCACGGAGGTGGTTGAACCTCAGCTCCACGGGGTCCACTAGAGTCACCTTGGACAGCCCCCTTAATTTCTGAGTCTTATTTTCCTCCTCTGGAAAATGGGTAGACATATTCCCAGTTCACTTAGATGTGCTGTTACAGAGCACTTTCCCAGATACAGCCTTCACTGAAAGAAAATGCAAGCTGGGCAAACGCATCTAGTAAGCTCCCGTTTGTGTTAAGTGTGCTTAGATCGAGAGAACATTTCTGGAAAAACACCTAAGAAAGTATTAAACATGAACACTGCTAAACAGGAGGGGGCTTTTGCACTGTCTGATTTTAAAAACCAACTGCATGTATTATATTTTTATGAAAATATATTGAATAGCCCTAGCCAGTTTGGCTCAGTGCGTAGAGCCTTGGCCCGAGGACAGAAGGGTCCTGGGTTCGATTCCGGTCAAAAGCATGTACCTTGGTTGCAGGCTAAATCCCCAGTAAGGGTACAGGGAGGAGGCAACCAATTGGTGTCTGTCTCTCACATGGATATTTCTTTCTCTGTGTCTCCCCCTCCCTTCCACTCTTTCTAAAAATCAATGGGAAAAAAATATCCTCGGGTGAGGATTAACAACAACAAAAATGTATCAAATAACTTTACTTAATACATTTATTTAAATGTAATTAATAATAAATATATTTCTTTGCTGGAAAAATGCCAAAAAGGAAGGAAAGGAATTTGTACCTTGCAGGAGCCGCCAGAGAGAAATGAACTCACAGGCACGAATCACCTGAGTGGGGTTTGCATCTTCTCATGACCCAGGGCCGACCTGGGACTAAGTGGCCCAGGGACTCATCATTGCAGAGGGAACCTTCCGGCCTCTTCCAGGCTGGGCTCTTGATACCAAAGATCAGCCCCATCTTCTCTCCTCCTGGCCAGGCTGCCGTGGGGAGGCACAGCCCTGACCCCTGAGGGAGGAGTGTGAACCCCCACACACCACAGTGGGGTCGCACCACCCTCTCTGCTCAGGGAGCCAGGTCTCCGGGGCTGTACCGTCAGGTGCCGGGAAAAGCGGGCGTGGCCAGCTGCAGGGAAGGGCCATCCCCAAACAGAGACCAGAAGCCTGTGCAAACACAGGGGTATAAATGAGGGCTCTGAGCGGCCGGGTCCCCAGAGCCTGCCGTGACCATGGAGGCCAGAGTGCTCTGGCTGCTGGCGGTGGTCCTGGCCTTGGGGATCTCCAGCTCGTCTGCGCAGTACGTGGGCCTGTGTGAGTACCACAGCAGGAATGGGGGCCTGGGGGCAGGGGGGACCCGGGACGCGGGGACGGGACACAGAAGATCCAGGCTCGGGGGCTTTCTGGGGACCTGAGGAAGGTGACCAGGCCCCCACATGCATTGAATAATTGCTGTTTACCAGCGACACACCTTTTCTCTCAATAGCCCTATAAACCGGCTCTTGCTGTCCCCATTTTAGACAAGGAAACTGAGGCTCAGGACGTTCATAACAGACCTAAGGCAACCCTGCCCATCAGGGTCAGACCCCAGGGCCGGCCGGCCACAGCCAGTGCCTAGCCCCACTGTCCCAAACAAAAAGTGAGACATATGACAAGGGTGACTTCCAGAACGATTCCGCAGTCGTTCCGCCCTTGCCGTGCACCTCCGGGTGGGGGTGTGTGTGTGTGTGGCTTGAAGAAATGAGGGTGCGGCTTTTACCAAGCTGTGTCAAAGTCAGCAGTTCCCAAACTGGGTGTCCATTAGACTCATCGGAGCCCAGGATGCGCCGATTCTGTCTGAATGTCTCTGGGGTGGGGTGGAGCCCCAGGGGTGTTTCAAGACCCCCGGCTGATTCCAATGTTTGGGAACCGGGAGTAAGGAATTACGGACTGGCTGGCAGCCGTAGAGGGGACTGAGGAGGTTCTGTGTGCTTTCCGTCTTCCTAAGCAGACGTAGTTAGGTGCTGAGGCCCAGTGGACTTCTCACCTTGGACATAGGCTTGGAGACCCCAGGACGCACAGGGAAGGTTGACCAGCTGTCCCATCTGGGGAGAGGCAGGTGTAGGAAGGAAGCAAAAAGCTCTGTGTGCACTGTGACTCACTCTACTGAATGTATACACCTGTCATGCTTTTCATTTAAGTGGGGAGGGGTTCTTGTAGGTAAACAAAGGGAATTTGGTTTCCGGGTTCAGGGACCCTGATTCCCTGGGCCGCTGCCAGCCTGCGGGAGCACGGGCCCACGGTGACTTCCGACAAGGCGCAGGAAGCGCGCAGGCAGGAGGCCAGATCACCTACGGAACGTTTCTTTTTAAATATTTACACAGAAAGAGGGTTCACCTCAAGCAAATGTTGGGGAGGGAGTCATACCCTTTGAACTCAGGAGGGGAGAGGGAAGAGGGTGAGACTTGCCAAACGGAGCCAAGAGACCAATGCCAAGCCGGCAGGGCGTTGGCAGCTGACTGGGCTTTGTCTGGGCAGCGGAGAGCCAGTGTGCCATCCCGGCCAAGGACAGGGTGGACTGCGGTTACCCCGAGGTCACCCCCGAGCAGTGCAACAACCGGGGCTGCTGCTTCGACTCCAGCATCCCCGAGGTGCCCTGGTGCTTCAAGCCTCTGCAGGAGACAGGTGAGCCGGCCCCCCGGGCACCAGGTCCTTTCTGGGCACGTGCTGGAGCCTCCAGGTGCCCAGGAAGCCACACACCCCTAGGCCCTAGGCAGGACACCCAGTGCCATGGCTATTCCTTGGCAGAGGCCTCAGTCAGCGGCTTCATGCCAGGGCGGCCAGCCACCAGTTCCCTGCTGTCCTGTTGCCAAGTGGTTTGTGCAAAAATACAAAAGCAATTGTTTCAAAAAGGTGTCAAAGTCAAGGCATTATATAGAGCAGTGGTTCTCAACCTTCTGGCCATCTAAATACAGTTCCTCATGTTGTGACCCAACCATAAAATTATTTTTGTTGCTACTTCATAACTGTAATGTTGCTACTGTTATGAATCGTAATGTAAATATCTGATATGCAGGATGGTCTTAGGCGACCCCTGTGAAAGGGTCGTTCGACCGCTAAAGGGGTCGCGACCCACAGGTTGAGAACCGCTGATATAGAGGAACTAATTTAAACTCTATCCTGGAGGGAAACGGACACTGCGTGGGTTTGGAAAGCTGGGCCGATCAGCAAACAAACCACCAGCATTGGTGACATGCAGGCAGGTGGCAGCACTGGGCGTGGAGCCCTGGTGTCTCCACACCCCATCACAAGTGCATCCCCTCCCTGCCCCCTCCCTCGGTAGTGCAGTGGGGTGCAAGATAACCACCCAGGAACCCCCTGTCAGCAACAGCTGGCATGCACATGGGTGGTTGCTATCCTGGTTCCATTGGCCCCACCTCACACATCCTGGGTGCAGAGGTCACTGTAAGCCATCTGGCAGCCAAGTGCCAGCTTACCTCTAAGGAGGACACCTGCCTGGAGGCAGCACCCAAAGGGCCACTCTTGCCCTTTGTCCCACGATAATTCGGAGGGGGCTGCATCCCTTCCTGGGCACTGGGTGGCCCTGCAGAGCCCCCCCTCATTGATCATCTGCCCTCCCCTAGCCCAGGGCCCAGTGGGGCATGTGGCTGATCTCCCACGAGGTGCGGGACTCAGCACTTCCCCGGTGACTTGGGGGAGAATGCAGCATAAGGCGTTGACCTTGGAGCCTGTCTTGACCTTGAGAAGCTGGGCAGCTGGGGGGTGGGGAGGAGACCTGCTCCCGGTGACGTATGCTGTGCTTTGTTTCCAGAATGTACATTTTGAAGCCACGCCCACTGTCCTGCACACCATGGGAGGTGAATTTCCACACTCCTCCGACGTCCTGCCTGCTCATCTCTGCTTTTCTAGCCCCTGCTCCCTGCCAGGCTCTGGCTGAAAGCTGGCGCCTGGGGCCCCATGTTTTAAAGAATAAAGATCCACGCTCAGCATGAGGACAGGTCTCTATTCCTGAGATTTTGTGTTTTGTGCTTTATTTCTGCGGAGTCGCTCGCATGCTCTTGTCAGCGTGTCACACACAGATGAGGGACGGCGGGGGGTGTCGTAGCATCTCGGAGCAGAGGGTCTGCCCCAGCCCGGGGAGCGGGAACAGAAAAGCACCCCTAAGCTGCTGCACGGCCTGTGGGTTTGTTGCAGACCCCAGACCCAGAGCAGACGAGATAGGGAGGGCGAGCCCCCTTCCAGAGGTCACTGCCTCTGCAGGCTGAGCTAAGACACTTCAAATGTAAGTTTCAAAAAAAAGAAATTAGTAATGTCTTTCCCCGTGGAGAGAAAGCCAATAAAAGCATATTGCAAAGTGGCACATTTTGCATTTATTTGCAAGTCAAGTTTAACATGTGTTTCACCTTGGGTGGCCACCTCTTGCTTGCTTTCTTCTGAAAATAGACCCGGCTATACGAATAAATGAAGTAGGGTCCCCGGGAAGATTCCATTAAGTTCCCAAGAAGTTATAACAACCCCTCAACGGAGAGCTGTTCCCTGGGACACCCAGTTCCACGGAGAGCAGGGGCTCCTGGGCGGGCAGCTCAGCGAGCCCAGACGGGTTTGCACACTCGCTCAGGCTGGGCGTCCCCTGCCGTTCCTGGCGATGGGACTCTCTTAAAGACACGAGGACAATCTACCGCCCCCTCGTCATGCTGCGCCGTGGCCACGCGGCAGTGCTGTCCACGGGCCGCAGGGTGAGGGGTCTTGATCTGGGCCACCCTTCCCGCTGGAAAAGAGGCACCTGCTCCCTCAAAATGGCAGCCTTGTTTCTGAGCTCGCACCTGGGACCAGGCCCCTGGAGACAGTTCTCCGCTTGTCGTGCAGAGAAGGAACCTGTCCAAGAGTCCCTGCCAGGAGGCCCAGGTCTTTAAATCCTAAGCCCTGTGTCCTTTCTAGCACCTTCAGGCCTTGGGGGTGAGTCCTTCCAGGGACAACTCAGACCAAGGAGCACAGACAGAAGCCCACTGTGCAATAATGTCCAACCCACCCAGCGCCCTCTGCTGGCTGACAGGAGTGATGGTGATTTCCTGCCCTCACAGCTGGTTTCTTGCCTCCCCTCCTAGATGGGGTATTAAGATACCCAAGACCCACCTGCCCTCACCTCCTGACGCATCCAATCCTGATTAAGCCCGATTTCCTTGAACCTCCCCCAAATCACATCACACAAGCCCAAATCCTACACTAAGTCCTTCCTAACATCTTCTGTTGAGATGCCCCACATGTGCGGTGCGCCTTGTTGCCACGTGTCCTTCAACCCAGCTTGAAGGGGGTGGGTGGGGGTGGGGCAAAGGCCTGGTGTGAGTGTTGGGGGCCCCGGGGACACATAGTCTCCATGGGGCTGCACTGCCATAGGGGATGGTTGAGAATCTGTGGGCTCCCTGTTGTTCTCCTGAGACCCTCCCAGTGCACCCTGAACCCCTAGGCAGCCCAGCCTGCCGTGTGGCTGACTGATACTCAGAGTGATTGGTAAATAGGACCAAAGGTGGTATTGACAGCACCTGGCATGTGTCAGACGCCAATCAATCACTTGAGATTTGCTAACGCATTGAATGCCCCTAACAAGCCCACCAGGTGCGGGGTGTCCCTGTCATTGCCTCCATCCCATTTCCAGAGGAGGAAGCAGAGAGGGGCCAGGCAGTAACTTGCTCAGGGATTTGCAGCTGGGTGGCCAGCCGAGCTGGATACGCTACGGCAGGAGCCTTTTAGAATATGGTTGAGTTACAGCACCTCCCAGTCATTCCCATCTAATTCATGTTACAAGCAGCAATAGATACTCGGTAAAGGAACTAAGTAGTTAACATGCTTTCAATCTTATTTAAAGGTCCATCATAATTTTTTACGTTTAAAATGAAACGCTGAAATGCTGACAAACTAAACTTGAATAATTAACTTCTAAGGACTGGCTTGCCAGGAGCCAGCACCAAATCCCACCGAGGCCAACGTGGTCCCTGAGTTCTCTGTGACCCACTGAGGTGGCCAAAGGATATGTGCCTGGCCTTCCTTGAGCAATTTAAACAACATTCTTGACTCTGGACAGTTGAGGTTATTTACGTACCCAGTGAGTGCTAATCAATTTTAAAAATGTTGGCTAGGAAATGCTACAGTGTGGACTGGAATACTTGTGTTGTTGTTAATCTTCACCCAAGGATATTTTTTTCCATTGAATTTTAGAGAGAGTGAAAGGGAGGGGGTGGGGGGGGGGAGAGAGAGAGAGAGAGAGAGAGAGAGAGACATCGATGTGAGAGAGGCACATCAATTGGTTGCCTCCAGCATGCACCCTGACTGGAGCTGGGATCCAACCTGCAAACCAGGTATGTGCCCTTGACTGGGAATTGAACCCACGACCCTTCAGTGCATGGGCCAACCCTCTAACCACTGAGAAACACTAACCAGGACAGGAACTTATTTTAAAACTCAAAGTGCAGTGAGTAATCTTGTATTTACTCTTACTTTGCAAATGAGGAAACAGAGAAATTTGTTTTAGAGCACAGCCTTGCTAAGGTTCACACCTGGGACGTGCCGGTAGTCATCATTGGAGGACCTCAGGCACCTGGGCACTTAACTGTCAGTGACTGCCCATGGCCCCAGTGGCCTTTACCCGCCCATCAAACCTCCCTGCCTCCTGCTCAGGTGCCTCTAGACCAGCGGTTCTCAACCTGTGGGTCGTGACCCCTTTGGCGGTCAAATGATCCTTTCAGAGGGGTCGCCTAAGACCATCCTGCATATCAGGTATTTACATTACGATTATAACAGTAGCAACATTACAGTTATGAAGTAGCCACGACAATAATTTTATGGTTGGGCCACAACATGAGGAACTGTATTTAAAGGGCCAGAAGGCTGAGAACCACTGCTCTAGACTTTTCATGTACCGGCAGCTCAGGGTGAAGTCAGATACTGAACCAGGCTCTGCAAGATCCAGGGATCATTTTGGTATCAGATACCTTCCTCGTTGACTTGAACATGTTATACATTTCTAGAGCCTTCCAGGAACGATGAAATGAGAACTTTGACTTGCCCAGGAGAAGCCAGACTCCTTGCTGCTGGTGAAAGGGGAGATAAACAGGAGCCCTCACACACACACACACACACACACACACACACACACACACACACTGTGGCCATTAAAGCTGTTAATTGCTTCCTGTGCCGTGTAGTGCAGTTGGTCACGAAAGGTGTTGCTTCAACACTTACTTGGCAATAGTCCCTTCCGGGCTGGCTGAGTAGCCGGGTATTGTTTCAGAACGTTGGAATTCACTGAAATGCATCATTCTATTCCAGAATTCTTCAACTTGCAATGGCATAGAGAGGCGGGGTTTTGCTGACACCTGGGGACGTTTGTCCATCATCTTACCCGTTAGCCACACGTCTGGGAGGAGTGTCCTCCCGGCCACTTCGGGTGACAAGATGGCCTCTCCTCCTTTGCTCCAGGTCGCTTCCCAGGATGAGGGGTGTGATGAAGGGGTCAGGAGCTACACTATCACCCTCTGAACTCTGCCTCAGGCGAGTTATCTAGTCTCTGAGCCTGAGGTTCCTCATCTGAGAAATGGAGCTGGTGGTGGCTGCCTGGCCCCAAGGATGGTTGTTAAATGAGATAATGTATGAAAAGGCACTTGACCCTTTGCTACCTGCCACCTAGCACCTGGGGGCTGGCGTACCACTGCTGTCACTCTTATTCTTCTCCCCCACTTCGCTGGGACCCATCCTGACACCTGCCGGAGAGACTGCTGCGTTAGAGCGCGGGCAGCGTGAGAAGGAGAAAACCATCCTCGTGCTCGGCCACACCCAGGCTCCCGTCTCCCGCTGTGTGAGGGCTGGTGTCGGTGAAAGCAAGCAAGAGAGAAACGAAATCTGAAAACAACGTTGCTTTATTTGACTTATGTCACATTTTCATAAATGGCATCTAATTTATCAGAAGACAAAGTTCAAGTCTGCAAAAAATGCACGTACAAATCCAAGAAGGTAACTCTACAGAAATACAAAGCAGAGCCGTGGTGTGTAAGGTCTGAGTTAGAGCTCACATCTGGGGTCTGCCCGGGGCTGTGTTCCCATGGAGTGACACGGCCAGGAACAAGTGCCCCAGGGAGCCCAGGTTATTTTAAATATATAGATATAGATATATAGGTACGGATGTATATATGCCGAGTTTACCTACAACAGTGCAAACCTCTCACAGAGCGCAAGCAACTGTATTTCCTAGAGAACATGGCTAAACCAAAGTAAAGTCACCCATACAGTCTTATAAAAAACAGGGCTCCCATAATTCTATATTAGACATACAGATGTGTGCACACGTTTGCACGCTGGTTAAAAAAATGTTACTTGCATTGACTCTTGCTTTGGAAGGAAAAACAAAGGGAAAACATTGAAACAGCTGCTCATCAAAGGCAACGATTCACAACAGATTCAGCCACGGTCGGCCGGGGGCTGCACCCACGCGGCTACACGGGAAGAGCAAACGGGAGGGGCGCCAGGAACACAGGTTAACTTGCTACACATACATGTTCTGTTGGGCAACTCCTCCCGTGCCCCTCCCGCGGGGATCATGACTGTGAAAATGGAGACCTCTTATGTGGGGTTGGTGGTGGATGTGACAAGCAATTTGAATGGCCAGACTTTTCCTACCATTTTTAAATGGCTGAGGACTTGAAAGGGGAGACAGTTAGGATTAAGCCGGGGCAGTCTGTGTCCCCAAGGTCATGGAAAAGGGCCCTGGGGTGCCCCTGACGGAGCTGTAAAGATTGCAAAGGCTGTACAACAAATAGCCCCCACGGTCACTGGATACTCTCAGCGAAACCACGTCCCGGGGTGACCTTCGTTCTGGGCCGGGCTGCAGCCTCCAGGTCCCCGTGGAGACAGGGCTCGGCCTTGAACCTCGAACCTGGGACTTCCTGCCTCCCGTGGGGCC